CTGATGTTGCCAATTGACCCAGTAGTGAGAATCTTTGTCTTCTTGATATTGAGATTCAATCCATATTGAAGACTGCAGTCCTTGACCTTCTGCAGGAAGAGCTTCAGGTCCTCCTCAGTTTCAGAGTGCAGGGTTGTGTCATCTGCATAATGCAGGTTGTTGACGATTCTTCCACCAATCCTGATGCCACATTCCTCCTCGTACAGCCCAGTGCTGGAGAATTAAACATAGCACTCATATATAAATTAAATAATCTCAAAAAGGTCATGGATGTGAAAACAACCTTGATTCTGAAATTTAAAAACCATGCACAAAATTCAACAAGAACAAACAGAGGAAAAGAAACAGAATTAACACTGAACAAAAGAAGGATCTGAGAAAGTAAGCATTATATCACACATTAAGTGACAAATGTTAAGGAAGAATAGTTTTAATGACGTTATGATGAGGTGCTGTGAAGAAAAGTAGGAACCCAAAGTGTACAAGTGAGAGAGGAAATAAAAGGACAGAAAAGTGGTTCCAGTAGAAAACAAGGAGAATTCAATTCACAAGTAATTCTAGTCTCTGGAGGAGAAAAACAAAGCACAGAAACACATGATATTTAACAGTATCATCTATGAAAAAAATTGGGAATGAAGTCTTTGGAATTTGTGTATTGAGAAGGTTGCCATCATCTTTAATACTCTACAAGTCCCCTAACTTCTTAAGTAGCAAAATGTCAGTACCTTTTTCTTTTTCTTTTAGCTTGTGATAAAATGAGCTAGTGTGTAAGAATACTTTCTTGAACCATTTTAGTTTTTGTAGAAATGTGGCTTCCATGTTATCTATTTCATTCTATGTAGTGGTTGATCTATGTTATTTAAAGAACCATATTTCTCTCAGTTTATCCAATTCCTATTTTTTTAAATTTTATACTGATTTCCTTACAAAGTTCATACACATTCCCACGGGGTTGACTTTGCAGCAATGTCAGTTGGTGGAGTAGAACTGTTGCACCTGGCTTTCTGGGCTGTGATCTTTATGACAGTAGATCACCAGTTCTCTCTGCAGAGCCAGTGGTTGCGTGAGCTTCTCAGTGCTTAACTATTGTACCACCAGACCCCCTTAAGGTCTTAACAGATGCCATTTTTTAGTCTCTGAATGTATAAAAAATGACACAGTCCACTTATTTTATTTAAAACCATGAAGAAGAAATAAAGTGGTTGCAATTACTTTATACTTTTAAAAGCATTTCTTGCACTTTATTTTAGCATAAACCTAGTAGAATTTATCCGAAGTATCCATGATATAGTGTCCAGAAGCAACAGAAAAATGCACAGTATATTTCAAAATCAGTAGGATTATCCTCTTTTGTTTTTCTCAGTATAAAATGCTGTTTCTTTGATTTCTTCCTACTTAGAAATTAAAATCACAAAATAATACCTGTTAACACTAGAAGAAGTTTTTAAATTTAATTTTAAATTAATCAACTCCTTTTACTAGTGGTCCCTACAGTCTTAGTGAGAAAAGATTCTTTTGTTTCTTTACTCCACTGACTTAAGCTCTCGTTTCATGTACATCTTTACATTATCTTTTCTTTGGTTGAGAACTAAAGAGAACAGTTGTTATCCCTCAATCTAAAAAGAAAAAAGATTGCTTAAGAATAAAGGCTTGAATGGGATTTAAATATTTCATTGTATTTTTCTACTATCAAATTACAGACTCAGAAGTGAATTAGAGATGGAGCGTTTGTTGCTACACTCTGCTGTAGAAAAATCAGGCAAGTAATTTGCTGTGACATTGGGTGAAAAATCTCATACCTGGCTCGGGTACATGGCCTCCTGCCATTACTCAATTGAATGGTCATTTCCAAGAAGTGATTACATGCTACTTTCTTTCTCTTTTCTTTTTTTTTTGTGGCAAAGTAATTTTTCATTGGAAATAATTTACGTGAGTCTTTGAAAGTGTGAGGATGAGGTCAATCTCTTTGGACATTACTCCCAGATTGATATTATAACTCCAGTTTTTCCTTTCTGATATTTGTGTTTATTTAGGTTTTGTGCACACAGATACCTCAAGGACACTGTTTTATTATTTTCTCAGATATTAGTTTGTGGTTGTCAATAGATTTGTGATTTAATCTTTGGCCTTATACAGAGATGATTGTGTTAAGTTTTGACAGAAAAACTCTGTAAATGATGCTAAGAAAAATGGTGGCCTAGTAGTAAGAAGCTGCACTGCCATCCTGGAGGTACATGGTTTGTGTCCTCTAGCTGCTCTGGGTAAAGATGTGTAACCTCCTCCTGTGTGATTAACTGCCTCTGAAAACCCACTGGAGGGTCAGCTATAGGTTCCTTCCAACTTAGTGGTACCCAACAGGGCAAAGTTCTCACCAGCTGTTCGTAGGTCACCATGGGATGACTAGGCAGCACTGTCTGTGTCTCTGTCGATCGATTGATCTATCTATCATCTATCTATCTATCATCTATCTATCATCTATCTATCTATCTATCTATCTATCTATCTATCTATCTATCTATCTATCATCTATCATCTATCTATCTCTATCTCTCTCTATCATCTATCTGTGTATCTGCCTGCCTACCTATCCATCCCTATCGATATAGAATGTATTTATTAAATTATTATATATTAATAATATACCTTTTATAATGATTATATTAAAATTGTATCATATATGCCATTTTATACATAAAATAATAGATAAAATTTAGTCCATTCATCTTAGCAACGATTCTGAAATTTTGCCATCAAAGCATTCGATATTTGTATAGATATACATGCATATCATCTGCCTATCCATCTAATTGAGGGTCTTGCTACCCTTCACTGATCCTGTGTTTTTCCCAGCAAGATGTCATTTGCCAAGACTGAGCAGTCCTGAAAACACTCCCAATGTCTGTGAAGTCGCACCATCCTTGTCCTCAAGGAACGCTCTATGTTTTTTCCAAGATAAATGTCTTTATTCTTTTGGCAAGCCTTGGCATTTCCAGTGCTCCTCACCAGCACCACATTTCAGAGGCATCAATTCTTGGAAAAGCCAGGGGACAGTTCTACTCGGTCCTATAGGATCGTTTCTGATCAGTAGCAACATGATGGCAAGGAGTTTGTGTACACATTAGATCCAGGAGGTAGAGTTGAAAGGTTAGACGTTGTTTGTCCTGGAGAAAGGGCCTCAGGAAGTTAGAGTGCCTGAGAACAGAGGAGAAAATGCTCACTGGCTGTGCACATGGTAGAGAGGGGAAGGGCACTGTGGCCAGGGTTACCAGGCTAACAGTAGGAAGACAGGTCATTGTGGCTTCTGGAAACTTCACATGCTCATCCCTAGAGTAAAGCAGCCATCCCACTGTGACAGGCATCTTACCTCTCACACATCTGCACCCTTCCTGCCATTCCAGGCCTCTCCTTTGCCACATAAGGGATGGTGTGGATCTGTTAGGTAAACAGTGGACTTCCTGATGGGCCTTGTGACCCACTGTAGTCAAACACACCTAACTCCTCCCAATTTGTACTGCAGAATGTCACCTTTTCATTGTCCTCAGCCTAAACGTTCCTTTGTACTGAGGTTGACTGCTTTTGACTCTGCCAGTCACCAAGCCCTGCCTTTATGGCCTAAACTGAGTCAAGGAGCAATGCTGCCTCAGTGTTAGGACCCTTAGCTTCCATGTGGGAGACACGGGTTCAATTCTTAACTAATGCAGCCGCCACCCATGTACCAGCAGATGTTCCTGTGTCCTTGTGATGCGGAACAGGTTTCAGCTGGGATTTCAGTCAGGCAGATGGGAAAGACAGACCTGGGTCTCTTTCTGAAAAGAAGCCGGCGACTGCCTGCCTTGTGGACTGTGGGGTCTGAGCTACAGCTCCCCTTGGGGTGGCACAGCACCAGTGTTTAGTTGAGTTGTATATGCAGTCACTGTTAACGAGGGCTAATGTGAAAGCTATTAACGGTGACAACAGGGCCCTTTCCCTGGGCCACTTCCCACGTGCGGGCTGACTGTGAGGTGTATTGGGGATGATGTGGTCATTTTCTCGCCATGCCCTCCCATCTGACTGCTGTTAAGTGAGTCTGGTTCACGCCAACCCTCCACTGGTTTCTGAGGCTGTAGGTAGCACTGAGCAGAGGCTGCTAATCCTTCTCCTGAG